CGCTTAAACCAAAGTTGTGCACATTGTAAATGACTGTGCTGCAAGAAGAATTGCCATCAGCGGCGATCGCAGAAATCCTCAGCCTCAGGATACGACCAGGTACAATGACCTCAGGACGAAAGCGTGCCCGCTGCTGAACCAAGGGATCGCATGGCACGATGATGCATACGCCACCAGCATCCACGCGTGGAATGGACTCGAATACCTGGCATGAGACGTGCAGCCGATGCAGAGCTTGATGGAGCTCAGCACGCGTAGCATGAACTTCCTGGACCGCCATCACCACCCCACGCCTCAACATGTGTGCCAAATAGCGTAGCTTGAGCTCGCGGATGCCACCCGCGGAGCGGTCATGATGAAGTAGAGCGCGAGCATTCCAGGTGCCGAACAGCGCTGGGGGGATCCTCGAACCTGACTCGCCCGCAGACGCAGGCACAGGGCGCCAGCACGCCAGTCTCTTGCTAAATGGCCCACTGGATGCGCTCAGACGCGCCGAAGCGCTCCGCGAACGCCTCCGCAACGCTCTGCTTGTCAATCCCCGTCTCGAGGACCATGCGGTAGTTCCACTGGAGCGTAGTAGCCTCAGACGGGGACTCGGGAACGAGGATCTTGATGACTGGCGAAGATCCCCTGTATATGACACCCTGAGCGCGATGCGCCCTCCATCTGCCCACAGACGACTCCTTGACGATCTCCAGCAGCTTCTTTGTCTCGATCTCGCGCCGTACCATCTGCGGACTCTTGTCAAGGCCCACAAAGACAGCCGAGCGGGCCCCCGCGGGGGTGGCAGCATCAAACCTGCGCCACTCTCCACTGGCCAGCTTGAGGTGCTTGAACGCATGGTGCACGTGCCTCGCTGCGAGACCTTCTGCACCGAGGAACTGTATGACGAAACGGCGGCCTGGACTCTCACCCTCAATCTTCCACTGCTCGTCCGTGAAGCCGCCCTCAGACAGCCAGGGGGCCACGCACTCACGAATAGCAGCTGCCGCCACCGGCTCCTTGGTGGTGGCCACGAAGATGGTGTGGTTCGGCTCGCGAGTGAAGGCGACGTTGCTGGTGACATCCAGCTCGGGTGACGCTGCCTTCTCGCACTGGTGGACGATCTCCTGCATCTGCGCGAGCTGAGATCGCATATCACGGTGAGCCTTCTCCAGTGCGTCCTGCCTGGCATCCAGATCACGTAGGTGAAGGCTGGTCTCTTCGTTGATGGTCTCCTGCCTCGCCGCGAATGCGCGGATGGCTGTCGCCGTGCTCTCCGTGATGCCGCGCTGCATGCGATCCGCAGACTCCTTGACCGAGGCAGAGACCGAACTGATGATGTTTGACTGAAGGGCGGCCAGTATGTCATCCAAGTCGCCGTGGAGGACGGGAGCGTTCCTGTCCTTGGGGCTGCGCGGGGAGTCGATGGCGATGACAGGCGGTGTCCCAGCGGCAGCGGCCTGTGCACGCCCAGCAGCGCCTCCACGCCCGCCGCCTCCGCCCTCAGCAGACCAGGGGTCAGCGCGCTGCAGTGGATCGTCCGTCTCCATACTGCCAGCAGGACCAGCGCGGGCAGCAGCACGAGCAGCCATCGGTGAGCCCTGGCTCCTGCTCCGCACATCATCCTCGTGGCGGGCTGAGCTGACCCGGCTGCGCGGCGACTGACGCCCATCGCCACTCGCACGTGCACGCCCTGAGCGTCTCGGAGCACCAGCGTCCGCGCCATCAGGCATACGAGAGACAGGGACGTGCCGAGTGGGAAACGTGATGGCCTCTGCTGGGGCGGACCAGCAAGGCACGTGAGTGTGGGCGCCACTCAGAGCAGTAGCCCAGAACGCAGCACAGTTGAGTTGGTTGAGAGATTTGGCGCAAGGGGAGATCCCTCGCGCTTGATCGCCCCGAGAGACTCGCGGTCGTCGGGAATCTCATCGCCTTGAGCCAAAATGGCTACGGATGTGTGCGCGCGTGTGTGTGTGCGTGTGTGTGTGTGAGTGCGTGTGTGTGTGTGTGTCTGTGTATGTGTCTGTGTGTACGTGTGTACGTGTGTGCGTGTGTGTGAGTGTGTGTGCGTGCGTGCGTGCGTGCGTGCGTGCGTGCGTGCGTGCGTGCGTGTGTGCATACGTGCGTGCGTGCGTGCGTGCGTGTGTGTGTGTGTGTGCGTTGTGTGTGTTGTGTGTATGAGTATGTGTATGTGTGCGAGTGTGAGTGTGAGAGTGAGTGAGAGTATGAGTGTGAGTGTTGTTGCTGTCGTTGTTGATGTTGTTGTCGTTGTCGTTGTTGTCGTTGTCGTGGTTGGTGTTGTTGTTGTTGTTGTGGTGATTGTTGTTGTTGGTGTTGTTGTTGTGTGCGAGTGTGCGAGTGTGCGTGTGCGTTTACGTGTGCGTGTGTGTGTGTGTTGTGTGTGTTGCTTGCGTGTTGTTTGTGTGTTGAGCGTGAGTGGGGGGGAGGGGCCAGCGCCACCCCAAGAAATCCGCGCGGTCCTCCGAAGGCGTATGCGTGATACGCACTTTGTTCCTCCAGATGCACGGAAAGTCCACGTTGCGCGAGGGCTCCATGGCCGCAGACAACATGGCGCCCGCCGAGGCCCTGTGGTCGGCGTCCGCGATCTCGATCGCGGCCCTCGCCCGGGCGACAGCCGCGCGCCGGCGCCCCTCGAAGCTGGCGCAGAGGCCATACAGCTTGTCCACAGACACCATGGCCTCCTCGATGAAGTCCGCAAGGTCGATAATGTCCATCCCGCTCCACGGGGCATTCCGCACCACCTGGCTCCAGACGAAGGCGCCCGCCCGCTGCTCGGTGCACTTTCGGCACACGCGGTCGATGCGCTGCACGTCGCGGCGCAGCTTGCCCTGCGTGTTGAAGAGGCTCTCCGCGACTCCATCGTCCAAGCAGTCGAGGTCTTCGCGGAGCTTTCGCAGGCGCTGGCCTAGGGCGTCGAGCAACCAGCACAGCTCGTCTAGCGCTGCGGCGGTACTTTCAATAGTGAATGGTGGAGAGGAGTGAGGTCCTGCGCCCGTCAAATGCTCAGACGCCCTATTCTCAGACGCAGAGCGCAGCCAGCAGAGCAGCGAGTAGGCCTTCGACTTCCAGGACAAGTGCTCCTCGACCCTGCGCGGCAGGCTATTGGCGGCTACCCACGCGTCGTCCGCTTCGGCCGCCGCGCAGATGGCCGTGGCCTCCAGAGCCATGCTGCCAGCAGCCGCCAGGCACTCAACCTGGCGCCCCGTCTTGCGGCAGAGGCCGCAGCCCAGGCCGCCGCACGCCAGGCACTCCGGGGCAGAAGCCTCACGCCGCCGCGACTCCTCCTCGGCCTCTTCGGCGGCCAGCTCTGCGTAGAGCCAGTCCTTGGGCTCCCGCCCGGAGAGCGCCGCCCGCAGCTCCTGCCCCGCGGGCGCCTCCGCGGCCAGCTCTGCGGAGAGCCGCTCCTCCGGCTCCGGCCTGGAGAGCGCCGCCCGCAGCTCCTCGCCCAGGCTGACAGGCGGGGCGTGAGCCCCGTGCGCGCGGCCTGGCTCGCGGCGGGATTCCGGCACAGGGAGCGCGAGCCCTGCGGGCTCGGCGTCCACGCCGGAAGCCTGCTCGCGAGCAGGGCCCCGAGCCGGCGGCAGGAAGCGCGGCCGCGGCTCCGGCTCGGGCGCGGTGGCCGCTGCGGAGGCCCCCAGGAGCGGCGCGGCTGGGCCCGCTGCCTCCTGCTCCCAGGGCAGCTCGAGCGGGCCCAGGGCCAGCGCGGCCGCCCAGGCGGCATCGCAGGCGAGCCAGGCGGCTGCCCTGCTGGTGGAGGCGTCGAGCGCGGCCACCGCGGCCTGGGCTGCAGCATACGCTGCAGCGTGCCGCTCGTTGCCCATGCCTGCAGCGTGGACGGTGCTGGGGCCTCGCTGGCGCAGACTGCAGGCTTGAGCCAAAGTGGCTCCAGAACGGAGGTGGGGGTGGACGAGGAGACGCCAGATGAGAAATCCGTACCGTCGAGAGGTAGCGCTCGGAGGGTCGGCGGCGGGGAGCGCGAGGGAGCCCCCGACACCCCCTTCCATTACGAGTCTGGCGGAAGCCGGCGCGTTCCCCCAAGAAACGCCGACTTTGGCACCCCGATGGTGAGTTTTGTTTGCCCACCACAGAGCAGCGCCACAACGACAGAGCAACGCGAATGTCGCCACACATTCAGAAGACGTTGTCCGTCGCCCTTCGAACACCATCCCGATGATGGTGGAGCTCGCCCGAGATTTCTGCCTGCGCCCGTGCGGACGGAACTCTCAACGCGAGCGCACCCGCAGGCAGCCAGCCTGACCTCGCCTCTCTCGCGCGCTCGGGGAGCCGACGAGGCGTCACGCGTCGCGATCACATGCTTATGCAAGGGTGTGGAGTAGATAGTTGGCGCACGTGGCAACCTCCCTCCTCCTTTTCGGCCTTCTTCTCCGCCTCCCCGCGACTACGACAGCCACTACTACTTGTAAGTCCTGACCCATGTGCATCGACAAATGCCACCCGTGTTGCCAGTACTGCTGATTGTGGCTAGCAGCACTAATACTGGCACCAACTACTGCCACTGTCACTGATGCGGCCGCCGTTGCTACTGGTATTACAGTCGAAACGTGGCCACAAGAAGACGGGTCAAGGACATGATCCCCCTCGCCGAGGGCCCCGGATCCTTGAAGGTACCTCAAGCGAAGAAGCATTCCAGGGTAAAGAACCCCATCACGAAACACACAAAGTGGGCGCCTCCAAACCTAAGGTTGTGCTTGAACCTTGCGCCACCTGGCTCATGCCAAAGGCCCTGAATCTAAACATGTTGTCGTCTTTTGGGGGCGCATCTTTTGCTTCCGCCAATTTCCGCGGGCCCCCCCTCGGCTTCCGTGGGTGGAGCCACACTCGTTTTGCTTCCGCCAGCTTCCGCCGCCCTTCCGCCACCTTCCGCCGAGGAGGAGACGCAAACTTCTTCAGTCCACGAAGGCGACGCCCCAGCTGTGCTCGTCCTCCCTCCCTCTCGCCGTGACCGTCGTCGGCTGCAGCGGCCCCAGGCCGCGGTCCTGCCAAGCGCCCAAGAGCCGCTCGGCAGGCCCTCCGACAGGCCCTGGAAGAGGACCTCGACGGCGGCGGCGACGAGGACGAGGGCGGCGGCTGCGGCAGCGGCGGCCACGACGGCGGTGACAAAGACGAGGAGGGGGAGAGCAGGAGAAGGAGGAGAGAGGAGGGGGGGAGAGAGGAGGGGGGAGCGAGGAGGGATGAGCGAGCGGGAGGAGGGGGTGAAGGAGGGAGGAGGAGGAGAGGACTCAAAGTTCGTGCAGAAACGATCCCAGGACCCACTCCGAAACGACGAGGACGAACGACGACGACGTCGTCGTAAGCGCCGCCTCTCTCGAAGGCCGAGCTTCCACATCCCACAGCCGCTGTCCCAACGGTGCCCCCTCTGCGCCACGACCTGCGCTGCCGCCCCGAAGCGGCCCCTCAGCATCTGGGCCTCCAGCTGGGCCTTGTCCTGCGCGCGGGCTGGGCGAGACGAGGGTAGACGAAAGAGGCCGTGAGGATCGAGACCATCGAAGACCCAGGTTTTTGAACTTGGTTGGCCCCTCTCGGACCTCCTCCTGCTCCTCCTCCTCCTCTTCTTCCGTTCTTCATTCCTTCCTTCCCTTCCTTCCTTCCCTACCTCCCTCACTCCTCCTCCTCCTCCTCCTTCCCGACTTCCTCTTCATCCTCCCTCTGGCAACATCAGAAAGAAAGCATCGGGGTCCCTTGACCAGAGAATTCGATAAACCATGATGTTTGGCGCGCCCGAGAAAATTGCAGACGCGGACCAAAACATTCGCCAACATCCGAAGAAGTCCAGCTGGACTTTGAAAGGCTCTTGTTGGCAGAATCGTCGTTTCCTGGGCCCTGGGACCACGCGTCCCCGCCCTCGCTGGGTCCTCCCGCCTCGCCAGGCTGCGGAAATCCAGGACGCCCTGGCGGTGGTTCAGCCGCATGGGGTAGCCAGCTCGGCTCACCTTCTTCAGGGGGAGGGCGAGGACGATGAGAGGGAGGAGAGGGATGAGAGGAACGAGGGAGGGGGGAGGAGAGAGGAGAAGGGGAGGGGGAGGACGATGAGGAGACCGCAGGAAGGGGGAAAGAAGGGGGTAGGGGGGGAAGGAGCAGGATGATGGGAAGGGAGGAGAAGAGGGTGGGAATACGTTGTTAATAGGGGGAGAGGGGAGGAGGAGAGAAGGGAGAGGAGGTGGGAGGAGGACAATTAGGAGGGGGAGGAGTGAGGGGGCGAGGAAGGGGGGATGAGAAGAAGGAACACAAGCAGGAGATGGAAGAGGAGGAGGAGGAGAGCGCGCTCGCCAAGAGGGGGGACGGACAGAGGAGAAGGTCGGATGACACGCCAGGAGCGCCCTTCCAAAAGGAGGAGGGGAGGACGAGGAGGAGGATGGGGACGGGGAAGGGGAGGGGAGGGAAGGGAAGGGTAGGAATGCTCCTCTCTCTCACTCTCTGCCCCAGGGCTCCCTTCCTGAGCAGGTCGGGCTCTTGAGCCCCATTCTGCCGCCGAGTGTGCTGCCGAATAGTCCCGCTTACAACCAGCTTCTGCCAGCAGAGCCGTCCTCGTCTCACTTCCAGCGGCCTCCGCGGACCTTTCGACGAGGGCGGGGGGGGGGGGGGGGGGGCAAACCCCGCGCTTCCTCCCTGAGCTGGGCGATGAGGTTCTGATTCATGCGGGCGGGAGGTGAAATGGAGAGCGGAAGAGAGCGGAGAATGGGAAGATGGAGTGGATGGGGGGGGAGAGTCGGGAGGGGGCAGGCTAAGTGCGCTCGCGCCATGTCTGACATTTGATGTCCTCCTCCCGTCCCTTCCCGCTGCGCCGGTTTTTCTATATCCGAGGGCGCGTGCCATAGCCGACCTGGAACTCCACAAAAGACCACATCCTGTTATGTGGAGTCGAAAAAAACGAAACGTGTGGGACCTGTGCCACCTAGGCGACCTCTGTGGCCTGTGGGGCCTTTGAGACCTGTGAGACCTGTGGGACCGGTTGAACCGGTGGGACCTGTGGGAAACGTGGGACCTGTGAGAACTGAGAGACCTGTGGGACCCATTTCACCGGCGGGACCTCCGGGACCCGTGGGACCAGCAGGACCTGTTGAACCTGCCAGAAAAAGGTGCCCACGCTGGGGCGGGAGCGCCCCTCTGAACAACGGGAGCACAGAGCCAATCCGAAAATGAGGCCCACACTGCAGCGAAAGCACCACGCTTGAAAAGCTGCAGGACATCGGATAGCACAGAAACCATGTGAAAAGCAAGTTCGCTCAAATCCTGTGCGCAACAGAAACAGGACGCGGAGGGATCGAAATGAGGAATCACTGCAGGAAAGCTCGGTCGCGCAGACAAAGTGTGTAAAACAGTACGAATAGGGGGGCTGCTACTCTCAGGACGTATTCGGGGAGAGAGGATGATAGTATTCATATTGTGTAACTGCGGAAAGAGAGGAAGAGCGGATATGGAATTGGAGCCTGATTTTTATTTTCTCGGATAGCGGTCGTCATTGGCCCCGCCCACACCCCCAGATGATGTCACGTTCCGCGCCGGCGGAGTCCAGCAATGCCTGAGGATGACTGGGTCCAAGTAGGAGCAGCATGTAGGTGGTGATCTGCCCCACAGCGCCTGTGTACACTGCACCACACCGAGCATGTACACACCAGCGCCTGTGCACAACGCAACAGCCGTGTGCAACGCAACGCCTGTGTACACCACTGTGCTTGCGTGCACCGCAGCACCTGTGTACACCACAGCGAATGTGCACACCGCAGCAACCATGTGCAACACGGCGCCTGTGTACACCACTATGCTTGCGTGCACCGCAGCGCCTGTGCATACCAGAGCCCCTGTGTACACCACAGCGCCCGCGTGCAACGCAGCGTTGGTGCAGACAACAGCGATTGCGTGCACAGGACAAGTAGAAGGAGCATGTAGGTAAGGATCTGGCACAGACCGCTAAACACCACGCCAGGGAAGTGCTGAAAATAGAATGCGATGTTCTTCCCTCCTCCCTCCTCCTCCACCCCCTCCGCCTCCTCTTCATCCTCCTCCTCTTCATGTTTCTTCTGACAACAGCACTTGTTTTGTGGAATCCACACGCGCTCCATTTTGGCATCAGGAATCCTCTAAACCTGACTTTGCCACGAACCCTGACCTTGGAGGAGAAGTAGGCGTGACTTGCGAGAACAAAACAGAGGATGCCTACAGGGCGCATGATGCTGATTCCTTTGTTGTCCGTTTGACGCTGAACCGCTTTAAAACGCATTACGCTCACGTGCTGTCCGTGTGACGCTCTGCCTCTTTGTCGGGGCGTCTCCGACCCATCTTGGAGCCCTCCTGGAATTTTTTGGAGGGCGGAGAACCCAACATGTCGGTCCCTGCTCCCCCTCTGGGGCCCCTCTTGGGGCGTTCCTGTGGCCTTCTTGGGCCATCTTAGAAGCCTCTTTGGCCGTCTTGGGGGCGTTGTGGGCCGTCTGGGCGCTCTCTTGGGGGCCTCTTAAACAGTTTTGAAGCGATATTTGGGGCCTCTTGGGCCGTCTTGGAACGTCGATAAAGCGAAAACGTGAAAATAAACTTCCAAACCAAAGGAAAACACATGAATGTTGACTCGTGGTACTCGCTTGGGAGGCCTCTTGGAGGCCTCCCCGAACACTCTTGGAGGCTTCTTGGGACATCTTGAAGCCATCTTGGTCGTCTTGGACCGATCTTTCGGCGACTCGTGGCCTCCGTCGACCATCTTGCGGGCCATCTTTGGGTCGCCCGTGCTGCCCGGAAGCGCGTCTGCAGAGATGGAGTCCTTCAAAAAACTATACGCAACAAATGGTGCTCTGTTGCACGTGGCTGCTGAGGTGCACGCAGGCGCCGTGGTGTACACAGGCGCTGTGGTGCACGTAGGCACTGTGTGTGGCACACCAGCGCTTGGCAGCATGGCAAGGTTGCGAAGCTGGCGGGCGAGGGACAACTTCAGCAGGTGGGCCAGCCATCTCCCGTGCAGCTTCGGTCAACTTTGAGGCATCGTCATTGGCAGGATGGCTCGTGTGTCTACCCTGAGCCTCGGCCAGGAGTTCGTCATGATTGCCGTCCTGGAAAGAGCTCTGGAACTATTCTGCTAGTCGGACCCATTCGCCCTGATCAGGGCGTCGGTGCACTCCCTCCCTCCAAAGGGAGGTGCCCTGGCGGCGCGTGACGTCAGCCGCCTTTGGGGCAATTTCCTGAGAGATGATCAGTGAGGCGGGCTGAAAGGAGGCAAGCAGGAAGGACCATCTCTGCCCACCCCTCCAAATCGCCTGAATCCCCGACCCCCTCTTGAAGACACGCGGCTCGAACACTACATGCGCGCACCCGCCTGGCGGCGCCGCTGAACACAAGCGCTCAACCTGCGCGCTCTGGGCCCCCATGAAGGCGGCAGGCGATAGCAGCGACGCCGGTCAAAATTACCCTGGCGGAATACCCACCCCCCTTCTATGTGCGTGGCGACTATTAACAGGACAGCTCGATGCACAAGAGCTCGTTGGGGTGCGAGGGGTGTGCAGAAATGGACCCGAGTACGCATGCGGACCCTGCCACTGGAGCCTTCGGTGGAGCTCGGGCCACGACACGTCTGAGGAGTGCGCCCATACGGACCCGAGTACGCATGCGGACCCTGCCAGTGGAGCCCTCGGTGGAGCTCCGTATGGGTCCACAGAACGTGCGAGGGATGTGCCCAGATGGACCCGAGTACGCATGCGGACCCTGCCACTGGAGCCTTCGATGGAGCTCCCCTATCAGGCCACGAAACGTGTGAGGTGTTCGCCGAAGTGGACCCGAGTACGCATGCGGACCCTGTCACTGGAGCCCTCGGTGGAGCTCCCTATGGGGCCACGAAACGTGTGAGGGGTGTGCCCAAATGGACCCGAGTACGCATGCGGACCCTGCCTGAGGAGCCTTCGGTGGAGCTCGGGCAACGGGTGTGCACAAATATGCCCGAGTACGCATGCGGACCCTGCCACTGGAGCCTTCGGTGGAGATCCCTATGGGGCCACGGAACGTGTGAGGCGTGTGCCCACATGGACCCGAGTACGCATGCGGACCCTGCCAGTGGAGCCTTCGGTGGAGCCCCCTATGGGCCCACGGAACGTGTGAGGGGTGTGCCCAGATGGACCCGAGTACGCATGCGGACCCTGCCACTGGAGCCCTCGGTGGAGCTCCTATGGGTCCAAGAAGCTTGACAGAATGCTCCCAAACTATGGTGGTACTGACGATGGTGATGATGGTTATGGTGGTGGTTGTGATGGAAAGTGGTAAAGGGAGGATCAGGAGGAAGCGAATTGAAGAGCGATGAGGAACATGAGAGGAGTGAGAAGGACGAGGAGAGGAGGAGGAGAAGGAGAGTGACGCGGGGCGCTGCGAATTCAAAACGAGGACCCAACACACAGGAGGGTTGGGAAAAACAGAAACCAGCTTGGACATCGCAGTCACCAGAGGGGAGGAGGAACGACTGAGGAGGGAAGGGAGGAGGAGGAGGAGGAGGAGGAGGAAGGAGGAAGCAGGTGCCCGACCCGACTGCTCGAGGAGGGAAGAGGACGGACGGAGGGGGGATGTGGGGTGAGGAGGACAGGAGGGAGGAAGAACTAAGGTAGAGGCAAGCCAGGTGAGCTCGCCCACCCATTTGACATCCTCTCCCTCCCTCCCATCCCTTCCCATAGGGCTGATTTTTCTATTCGCGGACACGTGTCATAGCCAACATGCGACTCACACAGGAAAACATCTTCGTGTTGCGCGCAATCGGAAAATGAAGGGGAGGTGCGTAAGCAGGAGGAGAATGTGGCGGGGTGGGCAGGAGGATGGGCAGGAGGAGAGGGATGAGGACAAATAGCAGCAGCAAAAACTAAACCGGAAGGACCGGGAGGGAAAGGAGGACCAGGGTGGTGGTGGTGGTGGTCACTGCAAAAAGGAAACAAGTACCGAGCAGAGCAACACGCACCACGACCACGACGAC